GTGTGTGTGTGTGTGCAGAAGGGAGTAAAGATGGCACCAGGATATGTTTCACATGTAGTTTGCACTCAAAGGAGTGAGAGACAGGCCCTTCTTTGAACACCAGCATACCGTGTAACTGTGGCCCAAGTTCTTTGGAAGCAGAGGAACTATGAAGAGGAGGAGGGTTGCCTCTATCTGGCTATAGTTTCCCTTTAAGAGGAAAATTAACACTGTAAGAATCTCAGATCAAGGGCCAGAAGGGGATTCTATTCTCAGCCTTATGACCTAGGAAACTCCAGGGATGTTCTAGATCCTCTAGAAATGTCAATCAGTCCCATCTTATCAATTCTCTAAACTCAATTACTATATATGTAACTAATGTTCTTTGACTAAGGGATGCCACTTGATGGCTATTGTAAGTGACAAATTTGCATCGTCATCCTGGTGATGGCCACCACAAGTGTAACAGCATCAAAGAATTGCGGGGAGAAGAAAAGTCACAGGGCATTCACAAGGCTGCTGCATAATTTGATGCTTTTAAATGGTCTTTTTGCCTATTTAGAAGTAGAGGTCCTCTAAGTTATCACCAAGGAGGCAAATATTTCCATCACACTATAACCTGGCAGGGGTTTGTCATCTTGTCATGACACCTGCGGCTCCAGGGCTTCTCTGTTGCACAGAAAATTGAGAAAGAATCACCAAATTCAATTTCAATTTGGTTAAGCATGTTGAGCCAAATCACACAGCTAAGAGGGTACATGTTTAATTTAGTTTCTTTTCTCAGCCCACATATTAGTAAGGAAAAATTATACTGCTCTAGGCTCTCACTGTAAAATATATCATCATTATTAGTACAGAAAAAGAGGAGACAGAGAAGTGTCGGTAGGGGATGAGCAGGGAGAAAATGAAAAGGACAGATGCCCTGTGAAGTCGTGGCAAGGTGGGAAATCACTCAGGATTGGGGAGCAGTGTCTTTTCATTCATGCCCTAGGTTTTACCAGGCCCATGAACACTAGCACAAATATATGTGTGTGTGTGTGTGTGTGTGTGTGTGTGTGTGTGTGTGTATGTATTCATATGGTATTTATCCATAGTGAAAGCCCATATGATCCACAAGTCTCCAGGTCACCAGATATAGAATCTATTTTCTGTAAACTATCCTCTTGATTGATTACCTTTGACTGGGACCCTTTTGTGAATTTTATGGGTCTCACACCCACTGTCCTGGCCACCACTATGTTGTTCTCTCTGCTTCCTGCTTGGTTCCTTTCTCTCCTGCTGGTCAGCCACTGTCTGATCTCTGTCCCATCCAGCTAGATGTATTCTTTCACTTGCTGATCACAGATGGTATCCTGTTGATCACTCCAACTTCAGCTACATAATCTCAAAGAATCTTTCCCACAAAAGAACATCTTACCAACATCAAATACAGTGAAAACAGGGGTTATAGCGTGGAGGACAGCCATACAAAGTAACTAAAAATTCACATGGTACCTTATAAATACATTAGAAACAATAGCAAGAAAGAATAAAACCACTTGTGTCCCTATCTTGGGGTTTATTTCACTTAACATTATCTAATTTGACCTTTGTTTTCACTGTATTTGATGTTGGTATAATTTGGGGAGGGGAAGAGAAAAAACAAAATGTTTAAATAGGGATACAGGCAGACCCATTGGAACAATGAGATGTACAAGATGCTTTGTTGAAAAACAAACATTACAATTTAGGCAGGGGAGGGGGGAGTGTAGTTGAGGAGGTGGGAGGGAAGGGATGGTAGGAGAAAAACAAAGGAGGAGGATAAGAAATGTACTCATTACCTTGCTCATGTAACTGTAACCCTCTGTACAGTATTTTTCACAGTAAAAAACTTATTAAAAAAGAACATCTTCCACTAGGCAGCAGTCAATATTCTAATTCCCTGCCAGATGGCTCAAGGGACAGCACTCTAAATGACTTTTTGTCCCTCTCTAAACCACACCCTCCACTTATGTCATCCTCAAAGTCTTGGCTAATTACTAGAGGAAACACTCACTGGTGTCTTATGATTTCTCTCACACAGATCTCTGCAGCAATGGATTCTTGAAAACAAAGTCAATAATGGAAATGAAAACCCTATACAAACACACAGGGTTCTAATTACCATTAATAATTACAATGAAGTGAGTGCTTCCTACATGAGTTACTATCTTAAGTGTTTTTGCATCTATTATTTAATCCTTACAACACATTTGCTAATTCATTCATTTAGCAAACATTAAAGTCCACTTGAGTGCCAGATTCTCCCCTGGATACTAAAGGCATAGTAGTAAATGAAAACACACACACACACACACACACACACAAATCTTCTAAATACAAATGAAAACATCTCCCTACAACTTTCATTCTACTGAGTGTAGGTAGACAATAAATAAATCAGTAAGTAAATTACCATGTTAGATATCGAGAAGGAAAAAGAAGAAGGAGGAGGAGGAGGAGGACGATGATGACGACAACAGCTGAGTATTGGAATATGAAATTCCACCACCTGCACAAAAGGCTTGCTGGCTAAAGAATTGATGACAAAGAAGAGAGAAAAATGAGGGATCCACCCAAACTCCAAGACTTCTAGATGAGGAAACAGTTCAGTATAAAGATTCCAGGGAAGAATGTGCTACATGTATTTGAGGAAGGTGTTGGCCTCAAGGAAAATGTAGAAAGGGCAAAGATGTGTTCTGTACTAACTACAATTTATATGCAGGGAAACTATACTTCAAAGACGGATTGAATAATGAACTCCCCCAATAAACCATAAGCCCTTCCTTGAACAAAGGGTCTTTGTAGATGCCATTAAGGATCTTGAACTGAGGTCATCCTGGATTGTTCAGGTGGGGCCCTAAAGCCATGGCAAGTGTTGGTATAAGGACAGAGGAGAGAGAAAGACATAGACACAGAGGAAACAACGTGAAATCAAAGGTCGGAGTGCTATAGCTGCAAAATACTACCATCAGTCCCCCATACGCTGAGAGAGGCAAAAAAAAGGGCCCCTAGAGGCAGAGCGTGGCCCTGATGACACCTTGCTCCCAGATTTGTGCACTCCAGATTTATGAGAGAGTAAATGCTTACTTTGTAAAGCCATTCCATGGTAACTTATTGTGGCAGTCCCAAAAAGCTAATGCACAGAGGTTAAGTAAAGTGTCTAAAGTGACAGAGTGCATTGGATGGGCCATCTGGGGCTTGAATCTTGGCAATTGAATATTTGTGTGCCTGGGAACATTAACTTGCACTGTCTATGACTTTATGGGTTCTTATGATCTTGAGGCATACCCTTCATTATTTGGGAATAATGCAAATAGGCGTATGTTGTCCCTTCCTGGAACTGGCCAAATCATTTCTGAACCATGAGGTCCCAGGCATAGCTACTGATCAATATAAGCACAAGATTTTCAGGCTTGTTTTAGTGATTTGGTCAAGCAGACTACTACACAGGAAAAACGTTTACAGCATCACACAGTATCAGTGCCCTGGGCCTTAGGGAGAAGTTTCTGAACTTGTACTTCCTGGGAAATACCCACCATGCTTTCATCTGCTAGAGGCATCCTGATAATTTATATTTCTGCCAGTTTTCATTAAGCAGTAAAATCAGGTGTAAGGCATCTCATGCCTCTGCCAAATGGAGCAATTGACTCTAAAATACTTAATCAAGGCCATGAGCTATCCCCACCCCATCCTGGGGAGAGAGGTTCCCACCAGCTCTCTGCCAACAAGCAATGAATATCCCAGACCCCTTTATTCCAAGAGTTCAGGAACACCTCCAGATGATGATGTAGCCAGATATAGGGAACCTTTGGTGACAGTGCCCTTCCCAGGTCCACACATGGCAGGGACAGTGAGAAAGAATGCACAACCTCTTTAATCCCATGACTATCCCCTGAGAGGAAGAGCAGAGAGCGTGAGACACCATGTCACAGAGCTTGCCAAAGCTCAGTATGACTCAGTGTCAGTGGAAGTCGGCATGTCTGTGAATGTGAGAGTACTCGGCATGGAAGGAGGTATACAGGAGGGCACATATATGGGATTTTCATCCCTGGTGTCACAGCTTATCCACCCATAACGCTCTTCTTGCTTGTCCCACACACCACCCCATTGGTATCAGGGCAGACAGGGGAGGAACAGTGCCAATAGCTAGCTCACCATACTCTCAGTGTTCCAGAAATGTCTGTAAGTTCTTTTAAAATTAAAAATACCCACATCCTCTTATATACTGAAAATGTGTTTTAGCGCATGACATGATAGTATCTGGCTTTGTACCAATTATTACATTTTATTTCATAACACAATATAAAATGAAATGTTATGGGAGAAGAGCCTGTGTAAGTAAGGAAATCATCGTATAAACTGGAGCTGTGTCTGTTCCCAGAGCTCTAGCTTTACAAGAACCACAGTACCCTAGGTTCCATGGCACCTACTTATAATCCCATCTACTCAAGAGATGAGAGGGTCTCACATTCAAAGACAGCTCAGGATTCAAACAGAAGGACTAGAGTGATAAACATGAGGGCCCAGTACCAAAAGAAAAAAAATACAATAAACAAGATCCATAGTACATTCCAGATGCAAAGGCCTAGAGACAATCTCTAGGCCATGATTCACACCCATGGCAAGAATCCTTGCTGCAGCAGAGGGCTTCCTCATCCGGCGCCTCTGTTTCTATCAGACACACTTGTTAATCCAGTCAGTCTCTTACTAGATCCCTACCACACCTCACCAGACTCTACCAGACCCCATGAGAACCTGCCCTCTTCAAACAGACCGAGGTACTTTGAGGGAATGCAGCTGCAGCAAGGTGTCAAGATGGATGTGTGGCTGGCAGAGCACTAAGGGAATTCACAAGTGGGGATGGTCAGTGCTACCAGGGCACAAACACCGGCTTCCACGAGGCTGAGCAGTTCTTTCCAAACCCAGTTTTCCAACTGACTGGCTGACATTTCTCTCCAGCCCAGTCAGAGCAACACCTTAAGAAGCTCTAACGTACTTACCTCCACAGAGAACTCTCAGTCACACTCCCCAGGTTGAAGTCGTACAGCTTCGTCAGGATCAGTATGACCTGCAAGGGGGTAGGGTGAGGGCAGAGGAGCGGGACAAAGAAGGAAAAAGGAAGCTCAATTTAGTTTGTGTAGCAGTAATACAATGCACCTTGTATCACCCAGAGGAAGGTTTAGTATTTATCCACTGAGTTGAAGCGTATTATAGGATCAAACAGGGGAGTGGGGAGGATTATTAATTTAATGCATCCCTATAACTGGTAGCATTTATTTTAATCCTGACAGTGCTTTGCATTTGAAATAGAACATGCCAAGAGGAATTAATTGGGTATCCTCAGTAGTTTTTCCACATCTGTCCTTCCTCAAGGTCAGATGCAGGCCAGCTGGTTTTGTTCACCACCAGGGCTACCCAGAGATGAGAGGACAGGGCTGCTTTGATCTCAAGATGACTCTGATGTACAGAATTAGATCTAAAAGGGTATGAAGGAACTGGGTCTGATTCTGTCTATAGAAGAGGTTCAAAGAGATTTTGTGTTTCCATCAATAGGGCCTTAGTAGGCAGAAATATCTGAATGGCAGTAGACTCAGCCCCCAGCATCCTCTGATGCTATCTGCTAGTGGTCTTGTTCCATATGCCCACACCATGCTGCAAGCAAGCAGGTCATTAGACTTCGCTAGGCTCCAGGACCACTTCCAACTCCAGTTGAAGTGAAGGAACCCAGAGAGTCATTGCTGCCTGTGATTGGGCGAACAGTGTTCCAAAGTGGTCTTGGATTGGCCAGTCTGTTCCCATGCCTTCCATACTTCTCCAGCTGGGGCAGTGCCCTGCCTTCCTGTCATATGCCCAGATAGTGGTTTAGGCACCACCTTCTATCTCCAACCATACTAAGTGCCTGCACCTGAATCGATTTTAATCAAAATGCAGGTGGAGAATACACATGGCCTGTCTCCATGCATGATAATCCAGTTACACATAATTGTGTTTATCTAAATTTAATGCACAACTCATTTTACTTTTCGCAGCTCCATCCCATTCCACAATTTAACTTCCTCCAGTTCATTTGCACAGCAGCCATTAAACTCTTTTCGAGATAATGAATTTCTGCTATCAAGATAGGACTTTCCCATTCTAGGTATCCATTCAAGATTTAAGAAAAATAATCAGCCATTTTATTGAACATTTTAATGGTGTTTAACTAAGAACAAAATGCTCACTTGGAGATTTATTCTCATTCAGCACTCCATGGAGTCAGTCAGCACCATTTCCTATGTCTATGTAAAGTAAGAAAAATGTCATGGGCAAGTGATGCAGCCCACTACCAGTCCATGAGAATCTATGGACAAGTTGGGTTGGAACATTGACCATGTCTCTGAGGCTCCAACTGGAGAGCTCATGTTTCTTCACAGGTGGTGTCCTGGGTTGGCAAGAAATATCAATAGCATAGCTATTTGTAGAACAACAGAATCGAATTCACTCAGTGGTGCCTGCTTCTCCCATTCATAGATGATTTATTAGTCAAAGTCAGTCCTTTTATCTAAGCATCCTCCCTAACTAAATGCCTAGAAGTGTACCAGTTAATTCTATTTGTTGAATTCACACACACACACACACACACACACACACACACACTGCAACAGAATTCTTGTCCATTTGACCTTTCACTACAAAGTCGTTTCTAGATGATAGAACACTCCTCTGATGAGTGACATTAGCTTTAAGCTTCCCCACAGCTTTGTCAACTTTCCAGGGAATTTCAGTGCACTCCCACTCAGCCTTCCTTCCTGCTCTGCTCCTCTGTCTCCCCACTGGAGGTCAGACTTGCAGCCTCATCTATCAACTGTCCTTATCACTTGGGCCCCTTTCCAACTTCTCTCATGGTATTTTTCCTAGGAAGTTCCTTGGGCATTTGATCTTATTTTTGGATCTGCAGTTTGGAGGCTCTAGACTAGTACATCTTTCCCCATTTCCATGAATATTATTTTGCCTCCCTGATAGAAGCCGTCAGTTTTACCTCTTGACTCAAAAATCCTCTAAAAGCATGAAACCCAGTCTTTGCAGACTCATGTTTGAGATCATCTGTCTCCCCCACATTGCCTCTTAGTATGATCTCAGCCATCAGTCTTTACTCTTAAGATGTTCATTGTGCTTAAAACCAGCACAAACAATTTTCCCACTTATTTAACATTATCTCAATACCCTGTGGATGTTCTACTAGCTGCCTTCTCAGCTAAACTCTGAGCATGTCGGATGGATTATATTTTTGTTAGCTCTGTCTTCATCACCGTCAGACTTCTACAAAGTAATCATTTAGCAGTCAATGAAATATACTGATGCTTTGTTGGTAATGCACAGATTTCAGCAGGAGATGGAATTAAGCTAGGTCCTGGACAGTAGTTTAGAGCTAAACAATCAAAACAGAAGCTCAGAATGGGGTGGAAGGGTAGAGGGAGTTAGGATTTAAGGTCAAATCTCAACCATCGTTAGTCTGGACTAAGGGCTTTAAGGTAGCATCCTACTGATTCTATGAGGAAAGTTAAAAAGCCACAGGGGGCTGTAAAACTGAGATTTTTCTGACTGGGGGGATGAGGTCAGGGAATCTTGCCAAATCTGACCTTTGAAGTCCGGGTTGTGTTCAGAAACCTTCTTGTGTCAACCAGAGGACCACACCTATGGAACAACACCATCATACATGCTTCCTCTCCCACTTCTAGGCTGTAATGACACCTGCCAGTCTACCATGGTGTGATCTAGCTGTAGCCAAGGAGATCATCCTTTAATGTGGGCGCAACGCCGAATGAAGCAGGTAATAGGGGAGATATGAGGAGATATCTCAGCAAATAACTCCAGCTTTCCCTGGAGAAAAGGTTACAACACCAAGAATTAAGGGCTGAAAGCTTCCTTTTCTCTGGAGCCCAACACAGAAAGACATTAATAGAGCTATGAAGAGCTATGATAATGTAACCTTTAGGCTTAAGACATCTTGTACAGAGCAAACAAAACCCAAGAGCAAAAGCAAGTCTACTGGCCCCTGGCCTGGCTTACCACTCAAAGCCTTTCGGAGGGCTCCTGAGAGAAGGGAATTACCAAAGAAAACGAAAGTCCACCTGCCAAGGCCCAAGCTGGGCAAGTACTCAGAGCAGAAAGAAAAGCATCCTTCCAGAATACCCAGAAAAAAAAATGGGCGAGGGGGGTGGCTTTTATGAAAGAAGGAGGGGCTAGTCATGGATTCATAGAAAAGCCTCCGTACACGTGCTGACAAAACACTGGGTGATTCTCAATCCTCACACCAAACCTGTGGGAGAAGCACCTACTATATGAAATCTGATGACAAAAGCAAACATCTCTGAAACCTCTCCAGAAAGAGACAGAGCCAGCACCAATGTAGGTGTATGACTAAGACTTGCTATCTTTGCTCCAAGATGATGCTCTTTATGAGGCTGGTGTTTATGTGAGTTTGTATGCAAGGCAGTGAGCAGGAACAGGGAGAGGAGAAAAACATCCCCTTGCCCTCAAGGAGTTTATCATTCATTTATAAACTCCACAAATGTTTACTGAGCACCCCTTATGAAAATGGAAAGATGTCCAAGAGACTTTGGGAATCCAGCAGAGATCCACAGCTCAAGGCCTAGGGGTGAAGATAGCTTTCATTCTTTGTTGTTCGAGAGAGAAATAGGAAACAGAGATGTGTGATACGAAAAGAACCGACAAATTATTAGGAGACCCGGGTTTGTCAAATAAGCTTTGTCAAATAAGTACCTTTTTGACCTAACTGACTACAATCCTAGGGGGATTTTAGACAGCTAGAGAAATGAAAATAAATTGGAATAATTCATGAGTAAATAGCACTTTTCTCTTCTCATAAGCTATATACACACATATCCTCATTCTTTCTCTCTCACACACACACACACATATACACCAAATAAAAGAAGACAGAAGTCTATGCATGTGCATAAGTACAGCTGGAAAAGCTCATTTATATTTATAGAAATATAGATATGGCACACAGAACTTTATTTTAAATTGGCACATGATATCTCTAGAAGAATTCTGTTCATACCTTCCTTAGCTCCAGCTTTTATCATGCTGGGTCAATATGACTTCTCTGTGAGACTGTGAATTCTCTGAAATCAGAAAACCAAGTCTCATTCAACTCTGCATCTCCAAGGCCAAACACAATACCTTGTACCTACATGGCAGGTACATACAAGGTCCTTCTGATGGATGACACAAATATATGAAAAAAGGGGGGAGATAATACAAATGTATAAGAGAGGTGTAAAATGCTATGGTTGGAAAGAGATGCAATAAAGTCCAGAAAATATGATCAGCAAAGTCTCTGCAAAAGAGGAGATGTAAGAGCCGGTCTTAAATATGGAAAGAATTAGGATACACTGGGGTGGACTCAGTGTTCACCTGCTTCATGTCTCTTTCTTCCTTTTTCTTAAACTGGGACAGGGGGAGGGACCTGATTCTGGGAAGGAGAAATAGCTTAGAGTTAGAGCCGCGTGGGCCCCGGAGGGAAAGAACAAGAATAGGTGGGTATTGAGCCCTGCTGAGATATAGATGGGCTGTGCCAAGATGAGAAAGGAAGTGAGAGGAACAGAAAGTATAAAGGAATCACTTTTCAGTGTGGTCAAGCATGAGTTAAGAAAAGCTTTTATCAAGAGAGTATCAATGATAAAGGACTATCATATTCTATATTATCTATATGTTAAACGTATACCTTATATGCGTGCATAAAACAGTAAGAGATGTGACTGACTTCTTATAAAATCAGTTGGCACTGTCTGTGTTGACCACCCACTTACAGTTTTCTTGTCCCTATGTAGGCATCTCGTATCTTCTACTGCCCCCAGAGGTTCAAGCCAGCCACGGACACACACAATGCCAACACTAACATGTTTATTTCTCCCTCCTTCCCTATCCCTCTTTCTTTCATCTCCCCCCTGGCCTATGGCAGGCACAGTATAAGATAAAGTGATCAAAAGGGAAATGCAGTGTCACTCTTCTGCTGCCTATAAGGATTGTCTGCATTGAAACAAAGGAGTTCAAAACCCA